CCGGACTGCTGCCAAGGAAAATCACGAAAGTCAATTACCAAATACCTTGCCCAAAGCAGAGATGGGTTATAGGCAAAATCGACACCCACTGCACCCAGAGCCAGTGAAGGAGCGGGAAACAGTTGTGTCGACCCACGCGGTGCTTCCGTATGTAATACTTTGTTAAAGGTCTCAGTACGGAGAGGCTCAAGTAGAGAATCAATACAGAGCCAATAGAACGCCATGAAGTTTCTGAAAGAGCTCTGTCTCACACTCTCTCTCTCTCTCTCTCTCTCTCTCTCTCTCTCTCTGTGGCCGCTCGCCTTAGAGTTTCCGGCAAGAGGGAAGAGGGGCGCACACATACATACATGTAAGATGTGCGTGTGTTGCTACACGCGCGGAGCACTTACTCGAAACTGTCGCAGCCAGTTGAGAATGGCAACTTGGGGAAAATACACATGACGTTCCTTGGGACGCTATGGCGCTAAACATCCCCAGCAACAAATACAACACCAACTGAGCGGTACAAATGGCAAGCGCCTATCATGGAGTTTACTTGAATCTAACTGTACCCGCAAAGAGTACCCCAAATGACCATGGCCAGTTGCAAGGGGTACGGTACACATAACAGTGCAGGCGCTGCTTTAGAGTGAATCCTCCTCATGGTCGCCATACACAATGACAGGAATATTTTTTGGATAAAAGTGAAGTAAGAGAGACTGTGCCTCGCCGTCTTGTAAGTAACACAAATGTACTGCTGTCCTTTCGAAACAGGTCGCCATAGAGGACACCCCGTGCCGTTCTCTGCTGCTTCTCTTCCTCTCCAAGAGCAAGCTCATAGTTATTTTGGCTTTAAACTACCAGTTTACATAAATTCCTAGTCTTGAAAGGGAGAAGAAGACTCATCAATTACAGTACTTGAGGGGGCCCCCCTTGTCGACCTGTGCACTGCTGTGGGGCCGTTGCTGTAACTGTTCTTCCATATCTTCCTTGCCATCTGGAAACGCAGTTAAAGAGGGCGTTTCGTTTTTTCATTTTATTCCTGAGAGGACACAAAAGGCAGCGAAAATTGCGGCGTGGCCCTTAAGCCCACAAGTCCCAGCACGCAGCCTCCTGCTGGTGCAAAACCATTGCAGCAACTGCAGCAGCCGCAGGTACAGTGTAGCCTTGTCATTTTGGAGGCTTATGCTTATTTGATTGGCTCATATTTGTCGGCTTGGCGGCAGCAGCTGGAGGAGCGCCTGCTCTGTTTGTTCCTGAGGTATTGCTGTATCCACGGGAGCAGTCGGCGCAGGAGGCGCAGCAGCACGCCTTGCGGCAGCCAGCTGCAGGTCGACGCTTGCGACAACAATGGCGAGCGAAATAGAAAGTCGTCTGGAGGAGTGGGCTGGTGAGTTGCAGCAGCAGCAGCGCCTGCAGCTGTTGCAGCAGCACGAAATACGTTCCCTGGTGAAGCAGCGTCGCGCCCATGAGTACAGCATTTCGGCTCGGCGACCGCTGCCACCCTCTCCCTTCCTCCGCTACGTAGCATTCGAACTTGCCCTGTACTGTCTGGTGAGGGCGAGGAGCTCCCAGAAGTTGCAGCTGCTGCGGCAGCAGCTGAAGCAGCAGCAGCAACAACAGCAAGGCCAGAAGAGAGGCCCCCAAGAAGGCAGCACCCGAGGCAGCGGCTACAAGATTCGTCGGCGCTTCGAGAAAATGCGTCGAACCACGTCTTCGTTTCTAAGGGCGGTTACCTCACGTGTCATGTCGGTGTTCTCCCGTTTGCTTCAGCGGCATCCGGGAAGCCCCTCGTTGTGGTTTACGTATGTGGACGTGCTGCTGCAGTTGGGTGCAACTCGCGCTGTCTTGCAGCAGCTGATGCGCGCTTTGGCAGTGCATCCCCAGTGTAGCGGCCTCTGGATAATGGCGGCAGATCGGCTGCTGCAGCAGGGGCAGCTGCAGGCAGCTCGGCGACTGCTCCTCTTGGCGTTGCGGTTCTGCCCTAGAGAGGCTTCCGTGTGGACGCAGTTGCTGCGTCTGGAAGCGTCTGCGGTGTATAGACTGTGCGCAGCGAGGCTTTCGAAGAAAGCGGTCCACGCTGCAGCCGCAGAGCAGCCTGCACAGGCCTGCACGGGCGCCCTTTGCAGGGACGAAGGCGCGATTGCGGAAGAAGGTGAAGAAGACATGCTGCAGCTGCCGACGCTCAGCGGCTCTTCAAAGAACAAGAACAACAGTAACAGCGTCAGCAGCAGCGTAAATAAGGCAGCCAACATGGCACTAGAAGAGAGAGAGCTGCCCGTTTCTTTGCAGGCGTGCAAGCTGATCGTCTCTGCGGCTACTGAGCGTCTGGCTGGGAACCCCTCTACGGCTGCAAAGAGCATCAGCACAAGTGGGGGGGGGGAAGGGTGCAACGGCGGCAGCAGCAGCAAGGATGTTGACACCAGTGAGAGGGATGCCTTCTTGCTGGAGGCCCTCGAATTGTCTCTGCAACTCGAAGCCAGCTCAGCGCAGCAGCTGTTGCAGCAGGAAACAGCCGAGCTGCAGGAGCACCTAGCCATGTGCGTCACCGAGGCTGCACGGCAGCAGCCACTGTTTGAGTCTTTACGATGGAAGCTGATGCTGCTAGAAGCCGCGCAACAAGAGGTGCAAGAGCAGCAGCAAAGACAGCAGCAGACGCTTGCATGTCTAGAGGGCATCCTCGCGACAGCAGCGGCCGCACCGCATGCCGCTGTGCTGTTAGGACCCTTTCTCTCTGCCTTGAAAGCAGCGGCTTGCAGCGGCAGAAGCAGCAATGATGACAGCAGCAGTGTCTGCGGAGGCACTGGCAGCTGGTTTGATTCTCTAGAAGTTGTGCTGGACGTGGAGGGCGAGGACGCCGTCATTGAGCTCCACGACGGTGAAACTTTGATGCGTCAACAAGAGAAACGGCAGCAGCAGCAGCAAAAGGAGCAGCAAAGGGAGCAGCAGCAAAAGGAGCAGCGCATGGAGGAAGGAGAGAGTGATAGTGCCAGGGCAGCTGTGCTGCTGCTGAGTCGGAGCGGTTTTCCGCAGGCTCAGAGACTGCTGCTTTTACAGCCAGCTGTGTTGCAGATTTGCTGCCTGCAGCCGTGTTTGAGCCGCAGCGCTGACTATAACAACAGCGTCCATGACAGCACTGACGAGAACAGCCGGATGCAGTTGCTTGCCGATGCAAGCAGTCTGCGGCAGCAGGCAGCCTGCATCTGGAGGGCTCTGTGGGGGACTGCGCTGTTGCAGCCGCAGCAGCGGCAGCAGCAGCGGCGTCTGCTGCAGCTTCTGCAGCAGACGCTACGCGCTGTTGCAGACCAGCTTTCCCAACTGCAGCACGCAAAAAAAGGCGGCAAAAGCGTCAGCAGAGCCATTAGCAGCAGCCCTTTGGCAGATTTGGCGGACTCGAAGGAGGAGCTCTCAGCAACATGTGCTGCTGCCGCAGGCAACGAGAGGCTGCTGCAATGCGCTGCTGACTCTCTCTCTGAGTTGCTAACGCAGCTTGTTGCGGCTGCTGCTGCAGAGGCTGCTCCTCAGTCGCAGGCCTTACAGCAGGAAGCCGCAAATACGCTACGGCACGTGGTGTCGGTGTATCCTGGAGTGCGACCAGCTCTCGCTCTGCACGAACTTTTGAAGACCATTTGCAAAAAAGGAGCTGGCAGCAAGAGCAAGTGCAACAATGCAAGCCTGTTGGGCGTGCTGAGGGGGCTGCAGGCCTGCAGCGTATCTGCCTTCGAAGGCAAGCGCCTCGTAAATGCTATTCTCGACGAGTGGATCTTCGACAGCTCTACAGCAGCGGCAACTGCAGCGGCAACTGCAGCGGCAACTGCAGGTTGGTTTCCCCAGCTAATAGCGGTGCTGGAGGCGAATGCCATTTCTTTGGTCGTCAGAGATTTGCTGGAGAGGATATCGAGCAAAGGTATGCCTCAGCAGCAGCAGGGGAGGGCTGGCAGTCCTCATCCGCCAGCGAAGCGCTTGCGGATTGAGTTCAGCAGGCCTGCCGAGAGCAGTGATGGAGCCACCAGCGCTAGCAGCAGTAATAAGGAGGATGACGCATTGGACGCGGTAGGTGTTGCCGTTGCATTTGCGTTCTTTCGGCATCGCCGCGGCAGCCTTCAAGCGTCTGTCGCTGCCCGTCTGCTGTTAAGTTTTGCCCTCGCTGACTTTGCACTAGAGCGGCTGCACCGGCTGCTGCTGCAGCAACGGAAGCAGCAACAGCAGTCGCCACATACCTCGCATGCATTGCTACAGCAAGCCCTCGAGGTGTACGACTACGTGCTGGAGGCGCTCGAGGATAGCGGTCTTCGTTTGGATGCTGCTGGCCGCATACCAGGGCAGCGCGCTGCTGCGCAGTCGCTGCTGCTGAAACAGGTGCTCGAGCAGCTTCCTCAAGTTCTTCTGCTGCAGCAGCAATGGCTTGAAGAAGCGATCCGTTTCCTGAGATACCGACAAGCCCTTTTGCAGCTGCTGCCCTCGGACAGCAGTGGCAGCAGCAGCAAAGTGGCTTGTGGGCGTACTTGTGTCTATCTTTCGGATGCCGCTGCGCTGTTTCAGCAAGCCAGTCGCGTGGTGGAGGACGTTGCAGGTTTCATGCAACGCCTCTCGGTAGACTGCATCGCTGCTGCAGTTGCGGACAGCGACGAGAGCTTGATCTGCAGGAACTGCCCTGTCGGCACGCGCTGGTGCAGATATGCGTGAAGCAGCAGTCGTGGTGTGGCTTCACGCCTATCGGGTGGGGGCGTCGGCCTTGGGAAGAAACTGCGTTGGCAAGCCATTAAGCTTTGATAGTTTCACAAGAGCTTGACTGCAATTGCATTTTGGCTTTGCACATGTGTGTGGAGCGAGCGGGGGACAGGGGAAGGAGCGCCTCGCGAGGTGTCCGGCCGTATGAAGCTCGGAGGGGCTTCTTTTTGTTGCTGCGTTTTGGCTAGCCAGCACAGGATGGCTGCGCGGTAAGTAGCAGCATCCGTAGTGGCACGCGATTATAAGTGGGCTGCGTCCTCTTAATTAGGCAGTAGAAGAAAGAGGGGTTCTGAGCAGTGCTCTTTGAAGCGGGAGCCAGAAGATGCAAATCTAGGCAGGGAGGAGAGACGCTGGCTGTAACGTGTCTGAAGACTCCTTGATAGTGCTTCTGTTAAGCGCGTGCTGGCGCGAATGCTTAGAGATCGCAGTCCGTGAACGAAGGCACTGATAGACTGCGTCATCAGGAAATATATTGCCGGCCTGGTCAAGAGCGGAGGGCCCCTATAGGTATCCAGGAGGATGAAGAAGTTAAACGGCCCGACTTCGGGATGCCTCACTCCACTGTTCCCTCGCTCTACTAGGCAGTTTTTGTATAGCAAAGGTGTGTGTCGGCTTGTAGCATCTTGAAGCACCCGTCGAGTAATCTTGGAGAGCGCGGCGGGGTCGTAAAAGGGCTCCCGCAGCGAGGCCGTGCACGCATGTCGAACACAGGCAGAACAGCTGCATCGTGGAACGGCTGAATTGACGGATTGAGGGGGGAAGGCACGTGTGCCTTTACGTCTTCTTTCCAGGCCTACAGCCCCACCTAGGCAGAACTGCTCATGAGCGGCACTATATTAGCACTCATACACGGGCTCGGCGTCCCCGGCTTCGTGTTTCTCCCGAAACGTTGTTGTGCTTCTGCTGACTCCTGAACGACGAAACACTTAACTCCAGGCTCAGGACGAACCTGGAGTGAGAGTTTGGCAGTTGCTCCTCCCCAAAAGGTTCCCGCATTTCGTGCCCCCTGCGGCCATCAGGATCTCGGCACGAAGGGAGACAGACACCAACGTGGGGATTAGGTGCATGCTCTAAGCAGTCTCAGAGCAGCACAGCTAGTTTCACATAGTATTTGGCGCACGCGCACACAAAATGGATTCTTTTCGCCACGAGCTAGTGCCACTTTACAACAGCAAGCATGTACGAACAGCCCAACCTAGAATAACCCCTGTGAAGATTGTGGCTAAGTTCAGCAAGCCCCTTTCCGCTTTCCCCTCTTATTCCCTTTATTTTAAAAAAACGCAACCTGATCTTTCGTAGCGCTCTGCCGAAATAGCTAGCCCCAGGGCACAATACTTCAAGAAAAGTCGCTCCCCCATTCGGGCGGATGGTGTAAGGGTATCACGCCTAATGTGCATTCTGCAGGTCCCAATATTCCACTCCCCCGGCAGGCAGAGACTCGAAAACCACTGCAAATCAGGGAGGAAAAGCCGTCATCGATCTGCGAATAGCTAGCAAAAGCCGAAAAGGCGCAAAGACGGGCCAGCAACCGACGAGGGACCCCCAACTCACGCAACCGCGGCGGTGAATGCCTCTCAGTGCACGGCTGCCTGAAATGTGTGAGCCTCATGAACGAAAACAGCGCAGCGTACAAAGGCATCCAAAACACGCACCATGAGTGCAGCAGCGCCTCCGCGCCTCATAAGGCTACGTCTTCTGCCATCGCATCCAGCAAATTCATCACAGCCTAATCCTTTCCCCCAGTAGAGGCGTAAGCCGAATGTCAGTCTACCATACCCGAGGTTGCGCACGCTCAAGTCCGACTTTAAAGCACACCTCAACAACAGTACCACACGAAAGTGCTCAACTGGCACGCATTAATAAAGGTAGCCACTTCAGTCAGAGCATGCGCTGGGCTAGGGCAATTACCAACGAACGCAAAAAATACCATCCATGGCACCCTGCAATGTTACACAAATGCAACGACAGATTCTCCTGTAGGCAGTGAAGCTCGCCAATGCTCCCCCTTTAGCCATCAAGGTGAGCATTCCGTATTCCATATCACTAGAAATTTCCATTCACTCAGTCTTCTCGGCGCTCAGTGGGTTTAGAATCCAGCAGTTTTTATGCGGCTCCCTACGGATCCGCCACCGCCACACGGGTCATTTGCGTGCACAGCAAAGTCCACGAATAATTTGGGGAGTTTTGAAAAATTTTAAGGAGCCAACACTGATAGCTGAGTGTCGTCTACAACTTCTAGAGCCATCAGTAGGGTGTGGAAAGGCGTGGCGTTGCTCTTGAGAAAATAGTAAGCGCTTCCAGTCACCTGCCGCAAACTCCGTAGTCTGGTGACCTTCAGGTGCACCTCATACAGCTTGTCTACTCAGCACCACCAGGCCTTCCTGCTCACAGAACGCAGTCGAGTGCCGTTCATCATACATCCGCATTTGTCTCCTGAGCTTTGCACATACATTCACACGCACTAGCGAGACGTTCTGTAAATCCCTTCGCTGCTTGAGGTGAGTGCCAGTCCACGACCACCAGGTCCAGAACCAAAGCGGGGAGCGGCTCTCAGTGTCGAAATACTCATGCTTGAGAGCTTGCCCTGCTAAAGCTTTCTCAAATCGCCCCGTGTATGCTATTTTCGCTCATCTCGGTGTTCACCAATGAGCAAGGGCGTGTATGAATGCCTGAACTGCAATTGTTCCTGCAGGCAGACAACTTGCCCTAATTTAAATGACCCATTATTAAAGTGCTTCCTCGCTCATAGACATGCCACGCGGAGCACGCGTTTCACTTTATCTAGGGTTAAGAAGCGAGGTACATCTTAAGCGGCTGATGAAATATTCGAGTTCTTGCTATACTTAAGGCCGCCATTCATTTATGCTGTGCACAGCCTTATCCACTCACCCTAAA